TGTGTAATTGGGAGCGTGTGATACCGCGATACAAAGCTCCCCTACTGTCAACGTGTTACTACTGAAGACAGAGTGAACTGATTTGCGCATAGGGTTATAAGTAGTGAAACCCCGCAACAGTGTCGACAGATTAATGCTATTAGGGTTATAAAGTGTGAAACCCCGCAACTGTGTGATAATTAAGTGTAGCCGTTATTTGTAGATTGTTAAATAAACCAATTAACCATCTCTACGGCGTCTTCAGCAACGCAAAACACGTTACAATATTTTACTGTCTCAAATTTGAGACTTCCCTTTTCGCCGGCCCTATGACTCGCAGGGTCACGGTGCAGGTATTTGACCCCGCCTCCACAGATTACGCATGTGGAGGCAGGGTTGAATACCTCCACTGTGACCCTGCAGGTTGTCTGCGTAGAACGTGCCTAGTTCTAGCTCTTGCTATTTTGGAACAAATTACGATGAAAGAAGTGAAAACAGGTGCCAAACTTGCATTAAAGTTTATTTGCTTTAACTTTATTTTCTTATTGTAATCAGCCAATGTACAGTAACTGACTTGTCCTATATCATGTGGCAATGATCTGTGAAGACGAAATAAATAATAAACAGAGCCATCCTCTCATCAGAGAGGGAGGCCCACAGAAACAAGACTGTAATTGTCAAATGGTAATAAATGGAAAAACTACCACATTATCACTTTTCCTGGATAGTCTCTTTAAAAAAACAGAGGTACCATGTATGCCTCTGGAGACAAAACAAAACGGAGGGGTGGACAGAAGTGCCCAGAAGACGGAAGATGATGTTGGATGACCTTGGGGACAGAAGAGGATATTTTAATTGAAGGAGAAAGCTTGAGATCACATTAAGTGGAGGAACTGTTTTGGAAGAGACTGTGGACCTGTCGTCTGACAGATTACTGATGAATGAATAAATATCTGGGGCTCGACACCAAGACTTACTGACTGACTAACCGTCAGTCGCAATGTGACTTGGACTTTGACTGGGGATACAGCGCAGAAGCAAAAATTAGTCTTTAGATGGTTAAAATAGTCAATCATCACTTCCTCACCCACTGTGATCTACAATTGTGAATCATCCTGCCTCATTTCATTTGGTAAGGCAGCTGATATATGTGGGCTCATACCTTTACAGTCTGCAGGACACTCTGAGGTACTGAACCTGTTGCCACTGGAGCAACCGGGATGTAACCTGACAACATATCTGCATGTTCACCCACAAACTTCATAGAGTATTCACCACTCATGGAGGGTGAGATCAGGACAGGACGGCTACCACTCAAAAGTTCTGACCGTATTATGGAGAGAATAAACTTCGATCGATCACCATGGTAAGGTTCTGTACTTTTTCCATAACCTAAAAGGATAAATAAAGTCATGAAAATCTCATTACATAATTAAGAATTGAAGTAAATAAATAAAAAGACCTTGGCTGAAAGGCGTAATTTCTTTCTCCATGAAAGAAAGTAAAATGTGGAGAACAGACATTAGTTTACATGCAGTCTCTCTGAACTATCTCTGATGGGTAACTTGCACTGGCTTTGTAATACAGTAAACATGTATAGGATGGCACAAAAGTAATATCGCACTTTAGGCATTTATATCTGTAGTCATGGTTTATTTAGAACTGAGAGTATGCAGTATCGAATGACAGGATGACTGGTGAACAATTATTTGGAAGGGATGCAGAAGGAAGCTACTGAAACCTAATTTAAGATACAATGCCAACATTTGCTTTGAGGGACTCAGAAAAACAATGAAAACCCTTAGTCGGGATAGTTGGTGTTCCAGCAAAGATTCAAACTGAGCACCTCCCAAATTCAAGGTCGAAGTGTCACTGCTTCAGCCAAGTCGCTCAGCACTGTTTACAGCCATATTCATATTACTGTAAACTGCTATAAAATCAATTCATACCAGTGTTCATCATGTTGGATTACTATTACTATTCACAGTTCAAATCCCTCGTGGTCGCTCTGGTGAAGATCATAACACTGCCTACCCATCCACTGACAGCCTTGCAAACGCCACATAAAACCTGTGATGCCAGGCTTAATGATGTAGCATCATTTTTTGTGACACCCAAACTTATGCCCCTTCTACGACCAAATCTGATATAGAATTTTCATTCTTTTTACACTTCACAGGCCCAACAGAAACATAATGTAAAGTGAAAACTCAATTCCATTAATCATCACAATACATAATAAAATTACGACTTGCTGGATTCAAGATTCTGACAGCTGTGACTATAAAGGTCACTATTTTCTAGAATGTGACACTATCCGATCAGGCAGCTGTCACCGACATCACTGCTTCCATTTTCAGGGTTGACGACTAAGACGTGCAAGTAAGCAGAAACAAGCAGCTTGCTACCTGCATCTTGCTGATTATTTGTTTGGTTTAATCTTCAACCCTGAAAATGGACACAATATATTCCTCTGACACACTGCTGTAAATTTACAGAAATAAATGGCTCCACATCAAAGGAGACAGTACTCTTAATATTCTAATTTGTTGGAGAAATTTGGAAGTATTACCAAACCAAATACAGGAGAAAGTGGATGCCTATTACATGTCAATACATTCACCTCTTGACACAGGAAAATCAATAAAAAGTCAGGACAGCTGGCAATTCCTTGCTACAAAAATATCAATCTGTTCGATTACAACATTAAGAAAATGAAGTAACAAATGAGAAACGAACCTGGTAAATCAACTGCTATAACAAGATGGCCAAAAGCTGCCATTAAATCCATTGTTCCATATTTCTGCCATATTTCTGAAGTGAAACTTCTACCATGAAGAAGGAGAATGGTTTGTCCAGAAGGTTTGACACTGACAGGAGGTGATGCCTTGCGGTAGAATATGCTTAAACCCTGAGAAAGGATGAATATTTGCATTAAGATGTCTGTTAACAAACAGAACTCTGGAAATACAATTCAAATCGATTTTCCAGTTAACCCTTTCCAATCTAAATAGTTAGTAAAAGAAACTAGATTACACACCATGGGAAGAGACAATTATTTGCCGTAAGCTATCTGTAACCGATCGTTTTTGTCAGCCATTACACGTACTAATGAACTGATATCCATCAGCAAACTTGGCACAAGTCAGAAGTCGTGCATCTGCCAGTACATCACAAGTTTCAACCTTGATGCTAAAACCAAGCATGTCAGTACCAGCAAATATATTTTAGAAAGAAAGAACTGTAAAACAGATCTCAAGAAATATAACTGAAGTCCCCTAGACAGTTAACTCTTTCTGTGAAGGAAAACTTTTCCATGAAATCTGTCTACAAGGTGAATATTCACAATAAATATAAAAAGAAATTCCATTACTTTACATGCAAAAGTTGCACTACTTATGAAGGCGAGTCATTAAGTTCATTAACTGGAAAAAATGTAAAGCTGTCCCTGTGCTGAACTAATTAAGCACTATGACATGAAGGCATATGGGGAAATGCATGTATAGATCCACATTTTCTTGAGCTCAGCATTAGTTGGAGGTGAGTGGTAAGCTTCACACCCCAGCTGCTTTACCCCCACTAACCATTGTATAGGAGGTTGGGTAGACCCGAGAGCCGGTCTGGACAACTAGAGAAGTGAAAAACCTTGACCCTACCGGGACTTGAACTCTGACCCCTCGATCATCCAGCCTATAGCCAGTTGCTATACTGACTACGCTATCCCGGCTCCCTCATTATGTGAAAAATAGGTACAAATTAACAAGCTTCGTTGTGGCAAAAATTTGCAAATCAAGTGTTTGTGAAAACGGAAAATGCCTGTATTTAGCAAAAGAAACTTTCTACTATTGGTATAGTTCTATGGTAACATACAATACACATTTCAAATTGGAATGAATCATTCCATTACATTATTTTTAACAAAGGAAACAACATTATTGTGCCTAATAATATAAAAGTCTTATAAATAGGTCAATAAATTAGTCATAAATTACAACCAACTCCATATTATATTCTGTACCTCTATTTTTATAGTACCCGTTGTATGGATGACATGTTTCTTATTAATATCTTCGGGAAGTGATTTATTGTAAAGATCCACTGTTTTCCAGTCTATTTTGTTGTCTGGTGACTTGATACCACTGGACATGTCCTGAAATAAAAACACAACATCTATCCAAATCAAAATGTAACATGCAAACACACAGAACAGAAGTTATTATATGGCTTACCTCATAAAGCCATTACCATTTCCTTAATTTTATCACTGTTACATAACCTATCAATCTAAAATAACGTAAAATCATCCCTGGGCTTAATTACGCACCATGCCATGACAATATGAGGGGGGGGGTGAAATAAAGACCCATCACTCCTGACCTTGATTGGATGATAAATGGTTAGCTTTATGCCCCAGCTGCTTTACCTTCAGTAAACAGCCCATGGTACCCATTGGATAGGAGGCTGGGTGGGCCCCATACCTGATCTGGACAGTGGAGATGAGAAAAATCTCTTACCCCTGCCGGGTATAGAACACAGACTCCTCAGCCATCCAGCCCATAGCCTAGTTGCTACACTGACTGAGCTATCTCGGCTCATCTAGAACTATTACTCAGAGAAAGAGGATCAAATCGTTATCTGACTATCATTATTTAACCTGAATACATTACTCCGTAAATCTTATTCTGTAGCTGTGTTTAGTACACCATTTGCTATAAGCTACACGTGACAAATGAAATTAGATACAAGTGCCCTTAATTAATATACAACTTCGCAGTTACATGCATTAGAAAACATTCTGTCAAAACAATACAACAGATTGCATTAGTTATTGGTGATAACTATGACTAACTTGACGAAAGCTAACGTAATGTTCAAATAACCGATATCATATCTTCGTAATCATCAATTTCCTGGCCGGCATATTCAAACCAGAATTTCAAATGTACAATTTGTTGAACATATTACCTTCAAAATGTCAAGTTCTGGCAGCTTCACGAGACCAGTAAATGTAAGATAACACCACAAGAAAACAAATACAGCAACAACTAACAATTTAACCCAGGATTTCATCGTTAATATATTTACGACGTCAAACGTTTCATCTCTGAAATCAGCCTGTGACGCCTGTGACTCCTACACAAAATGCGAGGGAAAAAAGAATTATGTCCGTTCTGGAGCGGGAACTTTTATAGCTTCAACACATAAATTTACCCTTCATTTAACACAAGTGCACCGGCCTTCGGAAATATGCATGTTTCTGCCAAATGCACACGGTCAGCTTCATACCAACTTTCGTTATTCATTATAAACGCCATTATTTTGCCTGAAAAATTCCTTATTCCAAAATATCCTAGACAATGAAAACTACAAATTTTAGTCTTTTACGACGGTTACCTACTCATATTAGCTCAGGGTAATACCATTATTACCAACAGCAGGGACTTTATCCGTAACACCATAACTCCAGCAACCATGGATATAATAGCAGGCGCGGGCGGCAGCGGCTATAACGTGTCTCTATCTGGTGGAGGACGCGAACGCTACTTTCAGCAAGGGGAGAATATGGGATGTTGATGCTCATCTCGTGGGCGGTAGATGCATAAAAAAACTGGAAGGGAGGGGGAGCTAAGGGGGAATAGGAGGAGACATTGGGGTCTGAACCAACCGGCCCCACCTCCGCCGTGTTAGTACGCGCGCAGCCCTGTGACAAGAAGAGACTAGCTTTCACAAGGCCGTGGTCCTTGCATATCCAGCCGCCAGCAAACAAAAAATAACCAATACATTACATTTATTAAAAGTGTGTCACTCACTTATATTGTTGGTATGTGTCGTTCTTATGTGGATGCTGGAGATGGAGATAAGAACAGAGTGGAAAAGTAGCAGGCAACAATGAGACTTCAATAGCTGAGATTACTATTTTTTTTCGTATTTTTGTTTATAAACTAAGAGGACAATAGATGTTTTCGTTTTATTTGTTTTGCTAAAGGTCTGACAAAGATAATAAGAACACTGTTCTGTGATGTCAGTGACTTACAAGATGTACGAAGCTGAATCGAAATGGGTGGTCCATCGAAACTGCTTCCAACAACATCTTGTACGAATTTTATTGTTGGTCTTCGCTTGTGGATTAATAAGCATCTCTCCAGGTATGTTTGGGAATAAATTCTCACCAGCTTTTTTGTGTGTTTTGATAATTTATACAAAAATCAATACACGCTCTATACAGATTTAACAATATCCGAGTAAGATAACACGATATAAGAACTGACATCTATTTGTAATTTTAACCAAATGATATCACGTGAAATAGAATGAAATTTATATTACATACGAAAGCTTACATAACAAATAGATTTTAAGAATTTGGTGACCTATATATTAGACGTTTTTTGACCCTCCCACCTAAATTGATTTTCTTAACACAGGAAGAAACAGATGGCGACATTTTGGTAAAAAAAATTGTTGCGCGTTAAGAAGGCTATGTTTTTGAAGATTTACTATTATGTCCTGCAGAGATTCACATTCAAAGTAATACTTCAGTATTTAAAACAAAACGAAATTGCGAAGTGTTGTCATTTATGGTACCTATTACAATTCTCTTCCGAATTTCCCGAAGCTTACTGTATGTATTTTGAAAAAGATAGTGATAATCTGGAAGGTGACTCCGTGTAGTTTTGTAGTAACTTACCGAACACTTCAGGGAACCCCCCGACTCAGTCTTCAGGGTAGAAGAGTGACCTTGAATATTAAAATATCAGGTTTCTCCGAAATGTTCGTACCATTTTACCACACTACACGGTTTCACATTCAAAAAGACATTAACATTTACCTCTGTTGAGAATTCCGTCTTTTCATCGGCAGATGCATGCTGTTAGCTGATAGATCGATTCAGCACGGTTAATGCCGGCTTGGAATGAATTATTTAATACTCAACAGGGCTGTTTCGTCAAAATGGCACCTTTTCAGCATGTCACAGCCTTGTGAGATTTCAGGTCAACAGGACGGTGAAGAGTGTCATGTTTCGGTGCGTGATCCTATATAGTTTGGTCTAAGTTTATCGACGTTTCGGAGGAACGTATTGCTTCTGTCTTCAGTGTCGAAAGGCATGACCAACGAGTGCGGAGCTGCTCGACCCTGCTGAAGATGGAGTCAGTACGTTCCCCCAGAACGTCGATAAATTTATACCAGACTATACTGCATCAGTAAGTTGACGGACTGTAGACAGGAGGTCTGGGGATCAGGTTTCAGTACGGACTGCAGTTCTTTTGCCTCTGATACAATGTACCAGGGGTCCACATAGCCTCATATGAAGTGAGAAGTGGGGGCTCTTTATCCCCGTGGCTAACCGGCCAGAGCGTGAAGCTGACCACTCATTTACGTCTATGTACACTTATTCTCTTAGGGAAAAACGGACTGAACGTGAAGCAGTGCATTCACATTCGTCTATGGAAGTAACTACCTACAAACTCAGTGCTGGACAACCGATGAATCCGGGGTTCCATTCTGGGTAGGTGAAAAGACGTTCTCGTCTCCATAGCACCCACACCGACTGGGGCCCATCCAGCTTCCTATGCAGTAGGTACTGGGGGCTCTTCTCCCTGGAATAAAGCGACCGAGACTTGTTATCCAACTAACTAATTCCATAGAGTCAAGTACTTTTTGAGAAACTAATAGTCGCACAGCTACTCAAATTCACGAAGATCACAGCCGTGATCGCAAGGGTCCGCCACAGATCTTCCTGTGACACTTAAACCCAGTCTACACCCTCCCTCCAAATTTTTTCAGATCCATTTTAATATTATCCCCCCATCTACTCCCAAACTTCAAGGTTCCACGGAATTTTGGTGTCCGTCTACCAGACTACGCACACGACGTAACAACATATAAGACTGCAATCTTCACATTAACCGCCTCAAATTTCGTGCATAATTTATTGTTACCTTAGTTTACTTTGGTGTCCGGATATGTTAGCAAGTTGTGTGATCACAGAGCCTGGATTAGAGCGGGTTAACTCTAAACTCTTATTCATGAGGTGCTCGGTTCGAATCTCGACCGGGTGACTGGCTTTTCAGAAGTAAAATAAACCCTCGCTAATCCGGTTACAGTTAATCTGGATCGAAATCTGAAAAATGCTGTTCACAATTGAGATTACACTGTCACGTATTAGGGGCTGTGACTGTTAAACGGGGTATGCGGATTGGTGAATGGATTTATTGCCCACTTGTACGCACCACTCGGAACTACACTTTATAGTTCACTGTCACACACAGACTGGTGTCCTCAGTCTATTGCAGTCACCACTAGCCGTTTCCTGGTAACGGATTTAACACAGTGAAGATGCTTCAGCTTCCCGGACTCAGGTCCTCTTGTCACAGCCGCCCGTGCAGAACTCTTGCTAACTGACAACTGAATTCTCTCTTCAACTATCCACTTCACTCAACTGAACTGCTGAAAAATCTCTCCAGCAACTAATTCGTTGTCAGTGTTAGTCAGTCAGTAAGTTTTGGTGTCGAGCCCCATGTGGGGCTCATGATCAGATATTTATTACCCTTTGACAGTTATGATCTTGTTTTTATGGGACGCCCTCTGACGAAAGGACGGGTCTGTCTTATGTATATGCTAGTGGCTCTTGCCAGCGCAGTCTACCTCGGGTCCGAGTCCCTTGGGACTCGAGACCATATTTTACTGACTCAGATTTGAGACTTCCCTTTTCGTCGCCTCTTACGAGTCAAGGGTCACGGTGGAGGTATTCGACCTAGCCTCCACACGGAGTTAACTACCTCCACCGCGATCATTTGCACTATTTACAAATGGAATATTTCGTCCATTTAGGTAACTCGTTGCTTCAAACTTTCCTGCTTATAACATCTCGACACGGACCACACAGAAAACATCTATTGTTTCGCTGGTGTTCATTTCCACGGAAACGTGTTTACCGAGCCGTTGCTCAGAAACGGGTGTTTGTTTATCCGCCTATTACGTAGCAACGGTACTGCTTCCTACAGTACTTCAAAAGACACACGACATTTAGGAAGGCAGATGCGTCACTTGTCTGTTCAGACACAACTTGACAGTTTCTTCAAACCTGCATATTATTACGTTCAAAAACAAGTAGAACTTCCGAGTCTTCTATCGATGATTAAATGTATTATCTTTTGTGCTCTAAGTTCTTTTTTTGCCTTTTAGGGCCACATTTTGCTTCACTAATCCGGATTATCTCCCCACAATTGCTCCGGATTAGCGAGGTTTTACTGTATTTCGTAGTCTTTCTCATTCCCACCAGCCAAACTCGTGGATAGTACCTACATTAGCGCATGCCCGTTTCCTTCCAAATCCTCTTCATTTTATCAGCCATCATGCTGTCGACGCTACACACAAGGGCAACGCGTGTGGCGCAGCAGGACCCCAGGAGCTTGCGACGGTGCCAACACTAATTGTGTGGCGGGCAGTCACCTCCCTGCGTCTGTCGGTACAAACATCCAGTAACTTCGTTCCCCCTAGGTTTCATTTTCGTGGCTCATTTTTACGGCACTCGGTAATCGGGGGGAGGGGAGATCATCAGGATTAACGAAGCAAAAAGTAGCTCTAAAAGAAAAAACTGTAAAGGTAAAAAAATAAAGGTAACGCTATCCCTCTAACAGGCCGTGAAGGCCCATAGCGTTGTGAGACGTCGAGGCTCTACATTTTTTTAGACAGTCGGCTCACAGATGGCGGTAAGGACGTCAACCTTACGTGCCGGCCGTTCTTTTCTCCTCAGGAAGATTCCTGGTACTCATTTCTGTTAGAAGCTGAGTCAACCCCAGGACCATAGTGCGGCTGGAAGGTTCAGGTAAACTGAAAAAGTCCACCTCATCGGGACTCGAACCCGCGACCTTCCGGCTTGTAGCATAGTGCCTCAACCACCTACGCTACCACGTGCTGCCGATATAGTAGTGCTGATGAAAATAAATAATAAAATATTACTGTAAAGCATTTATGTAAGAACTGTACAAACATAATACGAGTACATTTGTTTATCGATAGAAGACTCAGAAGTTTGCAGGTTTGAAGAAACCGTCAAGTTCTGTCTGAACAGACAAGTGACTCATCTGCCTTCCTAAACGCCACGTGCCTTTTTTTAAATGTGTACTCAACTGTGAAGAGCATTTAAAATTTTTCGTGTTTCGATCCGGATTAGCGAGGGTTTACTGCAGAGCCTCGGGCGGTGCCACGACGGATGAATCATGAACTGGATCGGATTTGGACAGAAGCAGGTTATGGCCTCATCTGCGTACTATCCCAGAATTTGTCTGGAAGGACTGAAGACGACCCCTCCCCCCGTCAGGGCAGCTGGTGTGCTCAAGCTGGGCACCTCCCAGGGTTACCGCTAGACCAACCGCGTCTGTGGATCCTCTCGAGATGCTGCTAATCGCTCAGTTGGTCAAGGCATTCCTCATTTTTTACGGAAGCAGAAGGTTCATAACCGAGTTCACAAAAGCCTTCTGCAGGCCACCCTATCCCGATACACGAATCCGTACACATAAAAGTCACCCTGGCAACTTCACCGGGCCAGGGATGAAGCTCCAAACTATGTGATAATGTGCTGCCTGATCAAGGCTATCGCACATCTGTGGCGGCGGTCATAGATTAGTATTGACCAATGATGGAATGAGGAGTAGAAGGGGAAAACCGGAGAGACAGAAAATGGATTGATCTGACTCAGGATGGGGATCATTGAAGGGCTCTTGCGAATACGGAAATGAACCTTCGGGTTCCATAATATGCTGCGAGGTTCTTGAGCAGCTGCGTAACTGGCGGCTTGTCAAGAAGGGCTCAGCTCCATGAAGCTAGTTAGTTACAGTCACCGCCATTAGAACCCGAAATCTCAGAGTCAGAGGAAGACCAAAGACAAGTTACGAAGAAGAATCCTAGGCCCTAAGGCAGTTTTGTCATCTATTACTTAAATACATGAGCCATAATAGCTCAGTCGATATAGTGACTGGGCTACATGCTGGACGACCCAGGAACCGGAGTTCCCTTCCTGGCAGGGCAAGGAACATTTCTTCATAACCTCCAAACCGGCTTTGGGGGCCACCCGTAAAATGAGTACCGGGGGCTATTTATCCGAGGTTAAAGCGGCTGGGGTATGAAGCTGACCACTCAGATTCCCCCAGTGTTGGAGCTACACCTCCACTCCGCTTTAGGTCTTGGTAAAAGGGAAAGTTGTCCCTATGCTTAATTAATTAAGAACTACGTCATGAAAACGTGGGGGAGTGGAGGTATAGCTCCACCATTCTTAATCTCGGCACTAGATGGAGCAGTCAGCTTCATGCCCCTGCCGCTTTACCCCCCGGGAAGGAGCCACCAATATCCAATGGATTGGATGTTTGATAGGTCCCACAGACTGGACGCTTTGTAGGAAGGAAAAATTTTTCATGCCGGGAATCAAACCCGGGCAGTCCAGCCCGTTGTCTGTCGCTATATCGACTCCCCCAGAATTTAATGCTTAATTAAGTACAGGGATTAAAAAGGTAAAACTGTCCCTGAAAGCGGCCCTCGAAGCCTTGAGACTTCCAGGCTCCCACATTTTCTAGACAATCGCTTCACGGATGACGGTGAGGTTGTCAGCCTTACGCGCCGGCCTGCCTTTACCCCCATGAAGATTCCTGGTACTCATTTCTGTTAGGGGCTGAGTCGACCCCAGGGCCATAGTGCGGCTGGAAGGATTAGGCGAATAGAAAAATCCAATGACCTTATCGGGAATCGAAACCGCGAGTTTCCGGATTGTAGCATAGTACCTCAACCAACTACGCTACGCGCCTTTTACGTAAAGACAGGCAGAAGGCACGAATATAACACGTGGTATCAGAGAAATTTACGGGAAGACATCCCGTAAAGTCCTGCGAACCACAGTTTGACAGCCAGCGAGCGAATACCTGTGCCTGGAGCTGTCATGGGGCCCGAAGTGTAATCACATTTATCCTACGCACATGGCAAACAGCGTGGGCTGACGCGCCGCGCCGCGCCGCCAGTGGGAAGAAAAGCTTTCAATCGGACAGATATCGAGGTGCCGTATTATTGGTTTGCCTCAATCCAACAGCAAGGGCACGGGTTCCAATACCGTTTGGGGCAGAATGTTTGGCGTCTCATATTTCGGAGGTGGTCGCTTCGAATCTCTGCCGGGAAACCCTACTCTCCTGGCTGAAGATTTGAGGTTTTCACGGCCGTCTTCTGGGATGTGGCGCCTTGTAGATAATGTGTAAACTGACGTTTCGGAGAAAAGGGTCGCCTCCATCTTCAAGGTAGAAGAAAAATTCCGTGAGCGAGGAACCAGTCTGCACAGGAACTGAAGAGCAAACAGTCACTACTTAAGAAATTCTTCGTCTTTTATGGGATCTGATGGTTCATTACCGTGATCACAACAGTCCGCCACAGGTCTCTAACCTGGGTCACATGAATCCAATCTACGCCGTCTCATCCTGTTTCTTTATAAACCATTTTAATATTATCCTCCCATATATGCCTAGGGGGTGTACGCGGTAGCGTAGTTGGTTGAGGCACAATTCTACAAGCCGGAAGGTGGCGGGTTCAAGTCCTAATGTGGTCATTGGATTTTTTTTCAATTGACCTAATCCTTCCAGCCGCACTATGGCCCTGGGGTCGACTCAGCCTCTAACAGAAATGATAATCAGGAATATTCTTGGGGGTAAATGGCGGCCGGCCCGTAAGGCTGACAGCCTTACCGCCATCTATGAGCCGATTGTCTAGAAAATGTGGGGGCCTCGACGTCTCACAACACTATGGGCCTCCACGACATGTTGCAGGGATACCTTTACTTTTTATTTTTATATGCCTAGGTCCTCCAGCTGGCCTCTTTCCTCCAGGCTTCCCTACCAAACCTCTGTATGCAGTTCTCATTTCCAGCCTCTCACATGTTCCATTTGGTCTTAACAATACTTCAGTGAATCTCAGGGTTTCATAGTGGTACTTGTGATGACTAATTTTCTGGGATGTGACGCCGCGTAGTCCGGTAGAAATTCCCGGACGTTTCGGAGGAATATACTGTCTGCGTCCTCAGGGTCGAAGAGTACACAGACCACCTGACTTACTCTTCGAACCTGAAGATGGAAGAAATATGTTCCTCCGAAACGTCGACGAATCTCACAACCAGATTACACGGCGTCATATCAAATAAGCCAGCAGTCTTAAAAATAATTGTTACGTTCCTCATTACGCAAGCCTTCATCTTCCTGACGACCGAGCACCTCGCTAAGGCATTATCAGAACGCATGTGATGATTGGTGCCGGGGTAGCTCAGCCGGTATAGGGACGTGCTGGGCGGTCGAGGGCAAGAAATTTCTGTCCTCTCCACGGCGTCCAGACCGATTCTGGGGCCCACCCCATCTCCTATCCAATGGGTACCGGGGGTAAAGCAGGTGAAGCGTGAAACTAACAGCTCACCTCTATCTAGTGATGAGGTCAAGAATACGTGGATTTATACCTACACTCCCACACACATCTCCATTATGTAGAGGTATAGTCTTTCCATAGACACATCTGTAGCGTCCGAGTATGTGTGTAAGGGCTGTGAAGGATCTGTCCTATATTGGCCCAGCGGAGGGTTCCAGACAGTAGAAGGGTCTGGTCGTCCACTGGGTACTTCGGGTCACACGACTCCTCGGAGCCGGAACCATTCTTCAAGTATTCAGCTGAAGGGAAACACAGGCACACTTCACTGGTAGTCAGGGGCGGGAGAACAGTTAGACTGTTGTAATGCTTGCACGACTACTAACTGTGAGTCTTTTCACACAACGAGGCAAGAATACGTGGTACACAACGTGTAACATGGGCCTTCAAGACGGAGGGAGGAATTCTAATTGCATTACAGTTTTATACTACACAACAGTCATTACAACAAATTTTTCGGGTGCACAAAAATTGAAAAACAAAGCAGACTTCCAGAAAAAACCCTGTACTCTACGATACATCATGCCCTAGTACTTCACGCTCAAATAGGAAAAACTATTTTTAGCCTTTTAACTGCGTTATAACGTTTTAATATTTTAAAACTAATATTCAAATATAACGAAACACAGGAATCGTAACTAAATTTATATTAATGACCACTAATATGGGAAGTACAGTTCAATTACGAGCAATAAACTTCATGAAAATTGCCTGATGAAGATCTAGCTGAATCGAAGCGTTTAGTACATCTTTTTGTTCTTGTTCTTCTATTCTTGTTGCTCCCACTTGGTACCTAGGGCGTCTGTGAAACGCTTCGTTTCATTTCAGTTTCTTAATCTCAGACAGTCGGCAGGACTCCTCGGACAGGGGATCAGCCGGTCGGAAAACCGATACTTAACACAAACATACATCCATGCTTTGAGTGGGATTCGAACCCAGGATCCCAGTTTTCGAGCGATGAAGACATAGTAAATGTACGTAATAAAAAACTCCGTGACCTGTAGTTTGCAAGCGAACTATACCGACCGAGCGACCATCGCCTGTCGGTGAAGTTAGTGTCAAATTTTGCGGATAGAGGGTTGGTAATAAGCGAATATTAATACAATCATATTGGTTTATTTGTTAGGAATCTGGTGTGCTGACTGGTATATAATAATATAATGTAGTACACTGTAACATCCAATCCCCCACACATCTTCATACAGGATGCAAACAATGAATATGTTGCGTCTGAGGTCCTAACTACAACGGCTATTATAAAGAGTACTATCTCCTGGGACCTAACGCCGTGTAGTCTGGTAGACGTTCACCCGAAGGGATGTATTACCTACATCTTCAGTATCTAGGAACCAGCAAGTACAGGCAGGGTTCTACAGGGTCGATCCTGGATGAAGCCATGTACCTCCGAAAAGTCGGCAACACTGCCCATTGTTAGACGGGGCAATGTCCAAGAGTACAATCAGTGTTAACAACATAACCCACAAAGATACTGTGACGCCATCGATGTCCAGACCATACAAAGCATGGCTGATGAACTGGAGAGGGTCTGGAAGGAGACGAACCTGGTCTTATCGAGGTAGTATGCAGACATTTTCCAGGAGAGACTGGGGATAATCGCGAAAATCCTCAGTCAGGATAGCCGGCGAGGTTTTGCCTAACGTTCCCAGCAGCTCAGGCTCTGCTGAGTCGAATCAGAAATCGGGAAGGACATGGCACGGGAAGCGGTCTAATTTGTGGCAAAACGTCAGTTAGGATAGCCTGTGCCCCTGTTAGAGCTTAGTGACTGCTTGTTCTCGTCACTAGATGGAGTTGAGTGGTCAGCTTCACAACCTGGCCGCTTTAACCTCGGTACTGAGGGGACAGGAGGTTGCGTGGGCCATAGTGCCAGAGATGACGCTGTCGAATAGAGAAAAATCTTTATTCCCTTGCCAGGAATCGAACCCCAATTCCTCGATCGTCCAGCATGCAGCCCGTCGCTATACTGAGCGTTTCTGGTTGCTGAGTATCCAATGACCGAAACAATGATCTGAATGTAATTGTTTGTGTCTGTTTTGCAGCTGAGAGCCAGAGGCAGCAGCAGCAGCAGCAGCAGCAGCGCCAGAGACCAGATCAGAGACCCACGGAGGACCCGTTAGACCGACATGGAATCCCGGGGCATCAAAATATTTTCAGCATGAACCCGTCAATGCACGGCGTCCCCATGTACGGAGGTGTACCAACCTATCAGAACGGAGCGTCGAGGATGTACGGCAGCGGCGCCATTTCGCCGACAAGTCGTGGAAATGGCGCAGTTCCACAGATGTTCGGTGGGGTGCCTATGTACGGAAATGCCCAGGTGCCGCCAACAATGTACGGGGGATTACAACACATACCTCGTGTTCTGTACCCTCCTGGAAGTTACTACGAATCTGCACGCGTTCCTACTCCATACGGAAATGGACGAGTTATACCGACAATGTATGGGAATGGCCGAACTGTACCGATTATGTACGACGCTAGAGGTGTACCGACAATGTACCAGAGTGGCTGGCCCTCACCGAGGTACAGACATGGGGGTGGTTCAACAATGCGGGGAAATGGTGCGTCCATGATTGGGGAAGGAAATGTGTATAACAATGGCCAGCTAAGACGTATGGGGGGCACCTCTGACCTGTATGACAGTGCAGCCCTACCGGACCACGATATAGACGCAGGGGTACCACCACCTCAGCAGTCACAGGTACCAGATTCAATAACCGTCGGAGGTGGCGATCACTGCGGAGGCAAACTTGTGTGCAAGGCCGGGGAGTTCACGTGTCTGGCCTCGTGTATGTGCATTCCTAACTCGTGGAGGTGCGACGGGGATGAGGACTGCATTGGGGAGGAGGACGAGGTCGAGTGTGGGGAGTATCTGGAGGAAGACCCTGACGAGGAATGTAATTCGTACGATGGAAACGTGCGCTGCACTCGAACTGGGAAGTGTATCCGGGAGCAGTGGTTGTGCGATGGGGAGGATGATTGTGGAGACTACTCCGATGAAACCCACTGCGGTAAGTGTATACAGAGTAATTAGTACTAGTAACTAATTCCATGGTTATGAGTCCTTCCTGAGAAGCCAACAGTCGCTCAGCTACTCAAGAATTTCCCAATATATTGTCACGTGTAGGGGGGGTACGCGTGACGAAAATAACGTGTTTTAGAATGGATGATTGGATTTATTGGCACTTCGGTTACAATCTCTCTTAATTACAATTAATACAGCGCTGTCGCCGATTTAAACAATCCACAGTTCACCGTTGTACAAGCACTAGGATTCTCAGTTTCCATTAGTCATCTCCTGGCAACGGTTCTCAACACAGAAACTAACACTTCAAATCTCTATGAAGTCTTCTTGCCAGTTTTTGTTCACACACCATGGAGCCTTGTAACTCAACTAAAAACGTTCCTGGACTGCAAGCGGACTTGTGTTATGCTACGTATAACCGCGGCACGGACACCACAGAAAACACATTTATATTGTTGCGTAGCTCAGATCACACAGAGAACAAGTCACATGATAGCTAAGCACTTTTGGAGCGTGACATCATTACGCCTGCGCGGAAGTGTGTTTACTGAGCCCATGCCTAGAAGCGGGTTGCAGAACCCCGTTTTTCCATTGTTGTTTCATGTATTACTTAGAAACGGCCGTTTCTGTGGCTCAGCTATTCTTGCATGGGGCAAATACTCAACAGTATTATCGAACCCGAAGGTTTATAACCGTGTTCAGAGGAGCCTTCCACTGCTCCAGAAGGTAACAGTGAATCAGTTACTCAAGAAATTGCTCGCCTTGCATGTAACCCGTAGATGCCTTGCTACCTTCACAGGAACTCATCATTCGTTCATATACTGAGCCAGACAAATCCAATCAACACTCTCAAACCCGGTTTTTGAAGATCCACTTTAATAGTATCCACTCATGTACACTTGTATCTCCCAACTGGTCTCCTCTCTCGGGATTACTGGTTTTTGGACTGTGTCTATCGTCCGGATTTCTAAAGAACACGACGTTTCGGCAACTGGGTCTGTTTCTGTCCTCAGGTGAGGGGTGGGAGACACCTACACTTTTGGGTCCGTCAGAAAGACCTAACCTCAATTACTCATGTTTCTCACCCCTCACATGAGGAGGGAAACAGATCAAATTTCTGAAACGTCGTGTTCATTTGTGGTCTTTAGAATATAGGACGACGGACAAAGCCCAAAAATCCATCAATCCCGGGTATTATACACCATCGCCAGGACCCTTTGGAATCTGCCCTTTTCTGTTTAGGTTTTCCGAGTAAGGTTTTGAATTTCTCTTCACAAATCTCCATCTTTGCCTTGCTACATGCACTGCCTATCTCATTATCCTAATAACATCTGGTGAAGAGTATAAATTATGAACTTCCATATTATGTGTTTCTTTTCTATTCTACTGTCACTTCTCGTCCCTTATAAACAAAAACAAATTCCATGGCCTGTAGTCCGCAAGCGAACTATACCGACTTCTCGTCCCTTACGTCAAAATATTCTTTTCAGCACCCTGTTCTCAGACACTCCTAACCAATTTTCGTCCCTTAAATTGACAGACCAAGTTTCACACCCACATAGTACTAACATGAAAATTATATATTAGTTTTGTGTATTTTAATATCTACGTTTCTAGAGAGCAGGTGCTAAGAAAAAAAGATTATGAATTGTTTCCCGTGAATTTAATGGGCTCTTAATTGCTCCGTGACTGAAACAATACCTTAAAATAGGCTGCGAACTCTTCCACCCCCCTTGGGATTCATTCATTCATTTACTTACGGGCAGTACTGTGCTTTGAAAAAGTGTTAGATGTAACCCCAAACGAGGAGAACACGCGCTGAAGAGAGAAATTTCTGTCGGTGTGAAATGTGAGGGTAGGAAGGTCGAGTGGTGGGTGTCTTGTGTAGGACGTAAGCCGTCGCACGCTACACGTTCCTTCTACCCACAAACCCACAGTCCAATTATTTTTTCGTGACCGAAAATATCTCACTGCGCGGAATACTCAGTATAAGGTACATGATCAGTAGTGCATTCAGAAAGAGTGCGTGAGGTTTAAATTTCTTGTCCGTGTTTCTTTTCGCCGTTATCGCCATAATAAAAAATCTAGAAAAAAATTACATTTTAATGAGCAAAACATTTTATCTTCTTCTAATTCTACCACGTGCGTTTGCAATGAACTTCTTAAGAAAACTTATAAATTTCAGTTTGTTAGTTATTTGTTTAGTTACTAAGCTACAAGTAACTTGACTATTTTTGAACAAGTTACTTCAGTTAGTTACTTGTGGAAGTTTGATTAACGAGTTGCTGTTTAGCTCGTTACTGAGTTGCCCGGTTGTTGATGAATTACTTGGTTTAGTAGTAAGTTAACCTCCTCTGTGGTCTAGTGGTCAGAGTTCCTGGGTACAGATCCAGAGGTCCCGAGCTCGATTTCCGGCGCTACTAAATTTTATGAGAAGTAGTGGGTCTGGAACGGGGTCCACTCAGCCTCGTGAGGATAACTGAGGAGCTATTTTAAGGAAATAGCGGCTCCGGTCTAGAAAACCGAAATTAACGGCCGTGGGGATTCGTTGCGCTGACCACGTGACACCCTCTATCCGCAAAAGTTGACACTAACTTCGCCGACAAGCGGTGGTCGCTCGGTCAGTATTGTTCGCTTGCGGACTAAAACCACGGAGTTTGTTTTTAGTGGTAAGTTAGTTATTACATTTATTCGTTGGTTACTCAGGTGCACAGGACTGTACTTAACATGGAAACAAACAGAAGGCGGGCAAATGCTTGTGTTGCCGAGCTTCTCTAGAAAGACCCGGCTCCGTGGAATTAATCTCGTTACTGTCTGAAACATCTCTCAGAGTACGTCACATCTAGGAAGGGTAACTGTGTGGAAGAAAATTCCTCTGTGTTGCAAGAGATCTCCCGTATGTGGACTTTTGTTCCCACTGTAAGCTGAGAACAGAATTTAGCAAATTTTCTGAAGAGAGCGTAGAGATATGTCACCACCTCATGAAGACAGTCTAGTAAGTTACGAGGGAGAGTCAGTAAACAGGTCACAAATGGATATAAAACGTAAAACATGTGATATTCGAACCTGGGGAAAAATATTTCTCGACATATCGTCCACCTGATAACATTTGTTCCATCTCTTTATCAGGGCGTCGAACCCCTCAGCACTGAAGTCTTTTGACCGTTGTCTCAGCCAATTCCGCATCTCCATTTCATCACCTGCGACTTTCGAACGACCTTGAGAGAATTTCTCGACCCAGTTGTGAGCCCTTTGACGCTACAAACACTTCCCACCACAAACAGGAAACATTTCTTTATGAATATCCTCTGAATTGAGCTCTTTTGCCACCCCCCCCAAAAAAAAACACGGCAGATCGCTGCTCTTCGGTATGATACTCCTCAATCACTGCCGCCATTTTGACTATTGAAACCAGCCTCTGAACATACGCATGCGCGTCTGCTACCTAGGCTGTCATAAATCTGGACTGTGCTGCTACCTAGTGAGAGACATAGAAAACCTGTCACAGGTGTTTTATTTCCATTTGTGACCTAATTACTGATCCTTCCTTGTACTTACTTATTTTAGATTCCTCTGGCACGTGATTCCATTTAGTTTTGTAGATATGTAGGAAATTACTGTCTACATCTTCTGGGTATATCTCTTAAATGCTGCTACATATCTACCAAATTACACGGAGTCACATCCATACGACCGTAATTTTAATGCAAGGCGAATCGCTGGGTGGAGGCCTGGAGTAAATAATTATAAATCACGCAATGATCTACCGAGTAAAGAGAAAATTGGAGACTATATACCTCGTTAGAAATGGAGATAATTGGGTTGCAGAACATTGGTATCCCTCCGCCTGGAAACAGGCCGACAAGACGTTCCGCGCTCACGAATGTTGCAGCCAGCATGGCAGAGGGGATACAGACTGAAGGAAAATGGCGCGTGCCGGGCTAGCAGGCACCGGCTCAGCGTTTAAACCAAAGTTCATTTCCATCGGTAACTTTTTGCGTGACTTAACTCCTGGTTTCCTCCAAGCGACATCCTGCACTGAAGCCCCCTCTATGACTTCTGTTTGCATGCAGGCTTCGACATGAACTGCACTGCCGATGAGTTCCAGTGCGACAACGGCCTTTGTGTTAAGTCCACGTGGAGATGCGATGGCGATAACGACTGCAAGGACTACTCGGATGAGTTCAACTGCACCAGGAAAACGTAAGTGTAACAGCGCTTCCCGCTTCCGCGAAGCCAACTTAGGTCCTACTTCATGAACCTTCCTCCAGAGGTAAAAAGGTAAAAAAACTATCCCTGTAACAGGCTGTCGAGGCCCGTAGGGTTGTGAGACGTCGAGGTTCCCACATTCACTAGCTAATCGGCTCACAGATGGCGGTTAGGTTGTCAGCCTTACGCGCCTGCCCCCCTTTATCCCCAGGAATATTCCTGGTACTCATTTCTGTTAGAGGCTGAGTCGATCCCAGGGCCATAGTGCGGCTGGGAGAATTAGGTCAATTGTGTGCAGTATAAGTCATTTTTGTTTCAAGTCTGTGTGTTACGTACGAGATGCCTCGCTCAGAAACAATGGACCTTGTTAGCTGGATTTGTTTAGCGTCTGTGAAGACAAACTAAAGAAACGCGTCCTGCCATTTTTCATCGGCTGAAGAGACAGCTAGTCGCTGCTTTTCAGGAATGGAAATTATACGTTTCTATGGAAAGTTCGGGGGGCCTGGGGAGAAGTAAAGGCTCGCATTTTGCTAGTTGCTTCCTTGGCTTACATCCTGCAGATGGAGGCAGTACGCGCCTCCGAAGTTTATACTTGATTGCACGGTTTCAAATACTGAAAGATTAATACGACTGACATATTCAAATCTGAATCAGCCTCACATGAAATGAAACGGGGCGTCTTGACGCGCGTCCCTTGTGCCTTGAGCCTTGCTTTCTTCCGACACTTTCATTACAACAGCGAGTAGGGGAGTAATTCGATAAGGGGAATGGGAATTGTTAATTTATCAATCTTGTGAGAGGAAAATGTAACAGAAAAAGTGAGCGTACAGACCCAGCCAGCCACCCGCCCACCTTACTGTAACACCACCCACACCCCGACACCACGGCCCGTATCGATCTGGGCAGTCGCACTGCACGCCAACACATCAACCCCAGCCATTGAGAGGACTCGTCAAAACATATGGTAGAGTTTCCAGTCAACAATCGCAGGGGGCTCTGCTGAAACCAATACCTCGCCACTGGGCACGATCCTGAACCAGTTCCATCCACCTCCCATCCTCATAACCTATTTCTGTAAGATCCATCTTACTAATTAACTGAGTCTCTGGTAGCAGAACCCGAAGTTTCATCACCGCCAGTACCAAAACCAGCCACAGGACACGATCGTGAGCCAGTTACATCCACCTCCCATCCTCATAACCTATTTCCCTAATATCCTTCTTACTAATTAACTAATTCTGCTAGCTAAACCCGAAGGTTCAACGCCGCCAGTATCAAAACCAGCCACAGGACACGATCGTGAGCCAGTTACATCCATCTCCCATCCTCATAACCTATTTCCCTAAGACCATCTTACCAATTAACTGAGTCTCTGGTAGCAGAAACCGAAGGTTCAACACCGCTAATACGAAAGCCCACCACTGGGTGAAACTCTTCGAAACATGTGGTAGAGTATCGATACAACAAACATAGTCTCTGGTAAATAGTATTCTCCCACTGCGACGGTCCGGGTTCAATTCCAGGTCAGGTCATGTGACATTTATGGTGGGTAGAGGGGGGCAGGTTTCCTCCGAGTACTTCCGTTTCCCCTACCAATTCTTATTCTACAAACTGCTCCATATTTGGTAGTCGTCTTAGCATCGACGCTGTATATTCTCGATAGTGACAGCGCCGTTAGAATAAACAAGAAGTTCTGGGAAGGACCAATCGCATACTTTCCCTTGATACGACACGAATCGAAAATAAATAGACGCGTCCAACAATTATTCTATTCCGTGTGTATTCGTTGCAGCGATGTTTTCACGTAGCCGTTGTCTAGCAACGACAAGCAGATACACATACGGACACACAAACTGATGTGAGTATGAAGCACATCGTTCAGATGGGCTCAAGTGTCACCATGATGTACTTACCAAGTTTCATTAAGATTGGTTCAGGCATTCAACTGTTGGCAGGGGAGGATACACAGACACAGAGAAGTAACATTATACTTGTGCTGAATTAATTAAAGCGCCATACCATGAAGACGGAGTGGAGGTACAGCTCCACATTTCTTGACATCGGAACTAGATGGAGGTGAGTGGTCAGCTTCATGCCCCTGCCGCATTACCTCTGGTACCCATTGGGTAGGAGGATGCGTGGGCCTCAGAGTCGGTCTGGACGCTGCGGAACATAGCCTTAAAACGAAAAGAAACAATTCATAATGACTGTGCTACCGGAAGCGTTGTCCAGGCTTGTGGAAATGGCCTGTCAGGTGCGCACGGCCGGCCTACTCATATGATCGGATGACTGCACCTTCATACGCACAGGCATATTCTTCCGGTATAAATAAGAGGTGAAGAGACCGGCGTGGTTGACCACAAACAGGGGTGCTGTTAAACAAATCCCGGTGGTTAGCGGCAGTATCAAAGGGGTTGAAATGATTTGCGTATGGGCGATCGTATTCAGGAGCCAAGAGGAGAGACGAGACTGGTTAGGGGACGTCAAAGCGACTGGAATTAATTACGTTACACGGAGACCCATGTTTAATGCAATGGAAGCGTTAGATAAATATGACTTGGGTATGGGCGCCGGGAAATGTAAGGTTAGGGCGGACAATTAGTTTTACCCCCGGGATATGATTGGATTATTTCGAAGCGGCCACGCGGCAGTTAACATCGCGAGAAAAATTCTGTCGCTCAGAAACTGTTAAGTGTTGATTACTCGAACCACATTCTGAAAGTTTGCCATCGTAGTCCATATCCAGGCTTCGAAACTCGAGGCGGTAACCAATCTCATCTCCACAGTACGTGTACTGGCACAGAAATCTGAAGTGGACAGCCCGCATCGCCTTTTTTAAATGAAATATATGTTCAAAATTAGATTTTCCCCCCCTCCACGTCGTCTAGACGGGTTCTGGGGCCCACCCATCCTCCTATTCGGTGAGTACCGGGGACCTCTTTTCCAGGGCATAAAGCGGCCGGAGCATGAAGCTGGCCACTCACCTCTAACTAGTGACGAGGTAAAGAGTACGTGGATTCATACATCTACTCCACCATACACCTTCATGGCGTAGTGCACAAGGAGAACTTTACTCTTTTATTGCACATACAGAATCATCGTTGGATGAACATAGTAATTTTTTGTTCTAAGATTTTAATTAAATTTTATGTGGAATTAAATTTCTTACAGCGCAGAGAACGGTTATCTTCTGGCTTGTAATGTCGCGTACTTACAGTTCGGTTTACTTACCCTTAGCTTATCCTTCGACCCTAAATACGAAGGCAAGAAAAATCATCAGAAACATAGGTGGATTGCTTTCGGACTGCATAATGTTCTCTTTTCTTCGTTCATACTTAATTATTTTCTTTCTCTCTCTTACCTTTTCTTTCCTACCCCATACTTATTTGCTTTTCTTTTTGCCCTTTCCTTCTTAACTACTTAATCACATTTTTCCCCCTTTCCTTTTTTTTTCCGTACAACTTTTCCACCATTTAACAATGTCATAGAAACGTAACTGAGGCTGGATGGCTGGTATTCAATTCTCGTCCTAGGCTAGAGTTTCTTTTTTCAGCGTAGCGTCCAGTCCGGCTCTGGGGCCCACCCACCCTTCTGTTCAGGGGGTTATAGGGACATGAAGCTGGCCAGTCACCTCCATCTAGTGCCGAGGTCAATAATGGTTGAGCTATGCGTCCACTGCCCCATGTGCCTTCATGGCATAGTGCTTAATTACGTAACTGAGTGCAGAAATAACTTCACCTGCGGACTCTGACACGGCTCGCTTTGACAGCTCGCAACAAGCCACACAACGGCGTGCCCGGGAGCTTAGCTAAATAAACACAAACAGAATCACTTCTAGCGTTCAATCTGACGCCAGACAAGGTTCAAGTTCAAATTCCAGATTCCTATATCAGCCATTACTGTCGCGGTTGTTGTCAAGTGCCCCCGCAACGAAACGGATCCGAACCTTCTGAACTAACGGCGGAGCTGATGCGGCAGTGAGATAAACTCAGCGGGTGCTACAGTTTAACGGTGTACTTGTACGACCTCTAAATCGGTTGGCTATTCACGAAACCAATTATCTCATGGCCACCTCCTTGTAACGGGAAGGCTTCATTAATTACGTACCACGCCATGAAGACGTATTCGGGAGTGGAGGTATAACTCCACCATTCTTGGTCTCTGCGCTAGATGCAGTTATTGTACCCATTGAATAGGAGGCTGGGTGGACCACAGAGCCAGTCTGGACGCTGCGGAGAAAAGAAAAATCTCTTGCCCCTGCCGGGAATCGAACACCGGCCGTTCATCCCGTCGCTACAACCGACTCCATCTTAATAGCATAGTGCTTATTGAAGTAGACGAACAACTTTTAGTTAATTTAACGACAGAACGACACAATAAATGGCTTCTGAACATGGTAATATACCGAACAGGGTGGTATAGAAGTAACGCTCTAGAGTTGTATTCGGGAGGTCTTCTGTTTGAATCTCGGTCGAGACAAAGGCTTTTCCTCAGTCCCTCCAGGCAAGTGCCGGTCCAACCGTCTCCACCCGACACTGTACAGTCTCGCTGCTGACGCCTTCGTTAATTAGCCTACGAAAAAAAAAAACATGACACTGAACGACTTTAAGATTCTGGAGTTACTGAGGAAAGTAATGATAACCCTGATTTTGTATTGTCGAGAACTGAACCCGGGAGTGCTGACCTTTCGTCCGCGGAGTCAGACGTCTCAGCGTACACAGATCACCACCACAGATAAGTGTACCGCCATTNGGGCGGTGGGGGGGGGGGGGGGGGGGGCGACGATGAATGAAGCGAGGTCACGCGGATCCCGGCCTGCTTCTGGGCGCCATCTGTCGTTTAGTAAAGGAAACTACTCAGTGCAACAATGCACTGCTGTTTGCGGAAGCGTTCACTGCTGCCCTTCATCTCATCTTTATTCCTCCATACACTCATTGTCTTCTCTCTTACCATCTCCTCCACTTTATTCTCCTCCATTTCATCCCCTCTTGCTT